AAACATGTGTACTACTACTGCTACAACTACTATGATGTTTTTTTGTATCATAGAGAGTTTCTTGGCTTTTGATTTTTTTTTTTTTTTTTGGGAGTCTGTTTATGCTTTGCCGGACTTGAGATATATATTTGGAGCCCTGTGCAGTAAGCCAGTAATCATGAATCCTAAAATTCTACTCCCTTCTCCCCCAATTTAGACATTTGGTTCATTGTTCAACTAATAGGACTCTCTTTGTTGTCTATTATCTTGATTTATTTGATAAAAAGTCGTTTGTTTTGTGATTTTTTACAAAGTTTTTAAATACTATGATTTTATTTATTTAATTCTATATTAATTTTTAAATAAATTTAATTAAAAATAATTTAGATCAAATATTGTGCATTGGTGTTTGCACTTTTGAAAATTACCCAAACATGCAATGCATTTGCAAGAAAAAAAGTGAAAAACTAGGACAAATATACAAAAACAAAATGTGAATAATGGCCACTTTTTAGCATTTCTCTAATTGAAATTTGCAAAAATTAGTACAATCAAAGTACATAAACACCAAGAGACTTAAAAAATGACCATTATTTCACTAAAAAATGAAATTAATATACACACAATTGGACGTATAAGACAAACCAACACAAAAATACTTTTTTTCGGAGTATTTATTTCTACGCCATACATAAAGAATTGATGAACTAATTTAAGCATATAATAAAAATAAAAATTAAATTAAGCATCAGCAGGCGCAATCCAGTGTCTCCCATTTACAAAGCTCTTCCTAAGGAATGGGTGGGCCGTATCAAAGTCCAGCTCTCTGGCCCACGATGCCCCTTGAACTGCTGCTGCTCCTGGGCCCCAACATTTGTACACCCCAAAAAATGCGGTCCTGCAACATCGGCCCAAAACTTAAAAAATACTTTTGTTCCTCCCAAAACAAAAAAGGATCACTTATTATTTACGCGGTCAGATTAGTTTTTTATTCTTAATGTACTTTTATCGATAATTTGACTAATAATCTACTTATACCATTGCTTGTTTTGTAAAAGTTTGATACAATTCTTAAATATGAAAATTTTATTATTTTATTTTTGTAAATCATTATAAGTGGAACTACTCTGTATATGTTTTGTTTCTCCATTGAAAATCATTTATGCTAAACTTTTAAATAAATTTATCGAAATTATTTTGTTGTACTCTTGAAGAATATATTAAGGCTCCGTTTGTTACATGAAATTTAAGCCATAAAATTGGAGATTATGATTCTAAATTTAATGTTTGGTAGTATAAACAATATGTGGATTTGAAATTAGTAGTACAAAAAGTGAATTAGAATTAGAGAATTGAATTTCATCCAATTCAAATCTATAGAATTTCTAATATAGGGTCCATTTGGTATACATGATTGATGGAATTGGAATTGAAATTCCATAGAATTCAATTCCATAGAATTGAATTCATCAATTTCAATTCATTTTTTGCACTACCAATTCTAAATCCACATAATTTTTATACTACCAAATACTAGAATTAGAATTGAAGTCCTCAATTCCAATTCCATAATTTGAATTCCGTATACCAAACAAGGCCTTATAATTTTGTCAATTTTGTATACTAAATGGGCCTTAAGTTTGTTTGGTTTGGTTTAAACATCCCGTCATCAAAAGAGTGACACATTATAAAAAAAGTTACCATTAAAATTATTTTAAAAACAATAAATAAATGTATAAATAAAAAAATTAATGTATCTTAAAATGGACTTACTTGCTTTTGTTGCTGGCGTGGTCCCAGTCATCCCAGCCACCGTGGGCGACGACGTCATCAAAATACGTATAGGAGAAGATAATTCTGGAGTATTGGCCCATGGCTCGGCCCACGTACAGCGGCCCAGTACCGGTAACAGTGCAGTTAACGAATGCGAATCCAGTCTTCTCGTCCGGAAAGTTTCTGTTTTGGGCCGCAATTGACCCAAATCTTCTCGCTATTGAATGGATCTGGCAATCCTGTGTCACCCATATTTTTAAAAAAGAATATAAAAATTATATCAAAATAACTATATACAAGTATTTTTTTGCATAAATTGAAGTATTGGCTTTGTAAAATGTAAAAATTTCACATTTCACTATTCAAACATCATGTTTACGTGTTTTTTTATTATTTAATAAATAAAATTGTTTTGTCAGAACCTTTTGATGCAATTTTGAAATACATACTAGTAATTTTTATTTTTATGCTAATCATTAAATAAAATAAACTAATTTAATTTAAAATTTCACTTCTTTTTTCTGCAAAGTGCCAACCTTTTTTAGAGGGAGAGATGTGTATTACTCTCCGTCTCTAAATAATTTACATACTTTACTATTCAAAAATCATGAATATTTTATATATTTGTTTTTGATAAAATAAAATATTTTTGTCATTTTATACTTTGTATAACTTTTGATATAATTTTTAACAACGTAAGTTTATTTTTTATTTATGCACTAATTTTTAAATAAAATAAATTGAAAAAAAATTAAAATTTTACTTCGTTTTGCGTAAAGTGTAAATTTAGGCTTTGTTTGGTAACAGCGTTTTCGATTAGCGTTAGCGTTTCGGATAAAATTTTAACGGTGCATATTAATTCTAAAAATGCTAACGCTAAAGGCTACCGTCAAATAAATTTTTCAAAACGCTAATGCTAATCTTTGACGCTGATGTCAAACGGGACCTTAGTATATTTGATTGAAGTTGTCACGTGAAACACGGAAGGAAAAAAAACATTTTGGTCAAACAAGGTTGAAGATTCCCGATCCGGCATGTTCATTCAACCTCGGGTAAACTAATTTTTAACCCTCCCCCTATTATAAAAACATTTTTATTACTGTCGAGTAACACAAAATGGACACACATTAGTCAACTTTTTGAAGGAAAAAGTGAAGTAAAAAGTTTGTCCTTATTCCTCTATATTTTCAGTAGATAGAGAATGCATAGACTATTAATTTGGAAAATAATTGCAATAAATTATACAAATTGGTTTTGTTTAGTTTAGAAAAATCTTGAAAAATAAATTAAAATGTATGTGCATACTAGAGAAGTTTATTGAAAGGGGTATAATTCTTCCAAAAAACAAGAAAAATGTAAAACTTATTTTATAACATGAGAAAATACAAAAAAACTCAACTTATTTCGAAATAAACTTTTTTTATTGATTTGAATGTCCCAAAATATATTTCACTTCTCATACACTGATACAATTTTATTTTTTCTTATAAATTAAACATCATAAAACTCAAACTGGTACGTTTATTTCAGAAGTGAGTGAGCATAAATCTTGTTGCATAAAATTATGTTTTGTTTCATTATTCTCTGGTCAAATTTCTTTTCTTCTTTCTTATAAATTTATTTTTGTTAATCAATTGTTTTTTAAACATTCGTAAACCAATTGTTCAAATAATTAAAGTAACCTTATTAATTACTTTTTGTTTTATAGATTATTTAATGTAATTTTTTTAATATAGACTTCCCAAATTTTATTTCGATTTCTAATATATTACTCCCTCCGTCCATAAATAAATTTTACATTACGCGTTACGATGTTTGACTGAATTTATTTTCCAATCATTTTATATGAAAAATGGTGTAGAATTGAAAAATAAAAATTACATATTAAAAAACTATATCAAAAGATCTACAAAGCTAGAGGTGACATGACTATGTTATTTTATCAAATGAGTAACAAAAATAGGTCAACAAAATGAATAAAGTTTGACCATGTGAATAGTGAACGTAAAGTTTATTTGTGGACGGAAGGAGTATTGTTTAAATAGCTAGATCGAATTAAAAATTAAACTCTATCAAATTAAATAAAAAGGACAATAATTTTGAGAGAGAGGGAGAACATATATAATTACTTTGTACATGGAGCGGCCATTGCCGAAAATGAAGTCAATGGAGCCTTGAATGTAGCAGTCCTTGAAGTAATGCCGGCCGGCGTCGTCGCAAAGAGTGTCCTGAGCGCCGTGGAATCCGCAGCCGGAGAAGTACGCTTTGTCGCCAGATATCCTAAACGCCACCGCTTGCCACCCTTCCACCCCCGGCGGCGGCGCCGGTGCCGTGTTCTGTTAGTTAGTTATACAATTATTATTTTTTCACATTTTCATGAATATATAAATAAATAAATAAATAAATACAACAATTTTGTCATTACATGATGTAAGTGCGACGACATACCCCGTCCCAGAAAACTTTTCAAATATGAAAAAAATACACAATTAAAATTTGTAATTTTGATCTTATTTTCTAAATTTTAAAGCGTCAAAAATGAAAATTATAAAAGGATGCGAGGGAACAAAATTAAACCTTGAAAGTGATGTTTCTAGCTGAGAAGAAGTTGGCAAAGACGGAGACGGAAGCGGATTGATATGTACGGAGTTGTTGGCCGTCGGGGCCCCGGTCGCTCGCCTTGTCATGCCACTCGATCACCGTCCATTCCCTCCCTGCTCCCTCGAACGTTATGAACGGCTTAGATGCCGGCACCACCACCTTCTCCCTGCACCTCACCACATTATATCTTTTTTACTATATATACGGAGTAAATTATAGTGAAGTTTGTACTAAATATGACTAAAACACAAGTCCTATTTATTTCTTAAATAAAATTAATAATGTCTAGTGAGAGAAATAATGTTCAGTGATAGTGGACATTGAAAAATAAAAATATATGGTGTTATATTGAAAAAGTTATTTGTTTAGTCCTTTTTATTAGGTAATTCCTCAATATATAAAATATAAATTTTCTTACACTTTTGGTGGGTTGCAATCTTTTCCTTTTAACAAATAGCTTAACTTTTCATGGGTTTTACATACTAAAGTCAGTAAAATGAATATAGACGGAAGGAACATATAAAAAAGAGAAATTTATGTAAATATCACTAAACATAATGACTTTTTTAAATAGAACTATATGTATTTTTTTTCCAATGTATCAGTTTTAGTCATTATTCATTAGTCATTATTCAAATAAATATTTGTCATCACTAGTCATCATGGACATTATTAAGTGATATACTGATATATAAAGAATAAAACAATTTAAGTGCTATTTAAATAAATGACTTAAGTTTTAGTGTTATTTAATATTTAGTGCAAATATAACAGAAATTATTTAGTGCTATTTTTTATTGACTGAGAGCAGAGTTATAACAAAATTATTTCAGTTGAATAAAACAGAAATGAATATATTTATACGGTAAGATTTTCTTTTTTTAAAGAAAAACTCATAATTGGGTACGTACTTGTAGTAGCCGGGACTTATTTGAATGAGTACACTCATGCAATTGTTCTCCGGGACGGAGTCTACGGCGGCCTGAACAGAGAGGAAGTCGCCGGAGCCGTCGAGGTCGACGGAGATAGTGCGGCGGCCGGACGGCCCCACCCAGTGACGGCCGTCGAGCCGCCTTCTGCTAGCAGCAGAATAGAATCTCGCTGGCGGCAGAGCGCCGCCGCCGTCGTGGCTGCTCTGCGGCGGCGAGGTTGCATTTAGCAAGTGGAGAAACAAGAGGAAGAAAGTAAGAAGTGTAAAAAGGTTTGTAGCCATTTAATTTCTGAAATGTAATAATAATAAAATGGAAACAAAAATATATGTTGAAGAGAATGGGAAATATGACAGTTTATATTTGGGGGATAATTTGGAGGTTTCTTGTAACGGTCATATATTTACATTACCAGAGTTCCCTTGCTTTCTTGTTCATTCCGTAAAAAAACACTGTACCACTAGTGGTTTTTTTCTATAATAAGAAAAGAAAAGATAAATTCTTGTGTGGTCCTAAAATTCACGCTCATTTTATGAGCTTTAGTATTTAAATACGGAGTAACATAAATGAAATAGTCTTTATGAAAGAAATAAAAAATTTCCATATGGATTATCCATAAAAGGTATGAGAAGGTTTACATCTTAAGATCATGAAAGCACAACTGATAATCATGAGATATGTGCATGGCGACTATTATTATTAAGTATTTGTGTGTGTGTCTATCTCAAGCGATACATGGAGTTAGAGTGATGCATAGAATTGTTACTCCCTCCGTCCCACAAAACTTTTATTCTTTTGTTTTCCATTCGTCTCAAAAAATCTTTTCTTATTTCTATTAATAATTCATTTTTATCACTACTACTCTCTCCGTCCCATAAAGTGTTACCCATTTTGACTAAAGTTGAAATTAAGGGAGTGATAATTTTGTGTTGACTTTCCAAAAATACCCTTGATGTGATGGGTAAAAGTAAGATGTGATGTGTAGATTATAAGTTAAAAGGTATGGTGTGATAGGTAGGCTTTGAAAAAGTAAGGGGTAAAAGTGGTTTTTTAATAGAAATGGGTAAGGGATTGTGGTACACAATTTTTTTGAAACGTGTAAATCTTTTTGGGACGGAGGGAGTATTTCTTAACCTATCGAACATATCATACTTTTTCACTATTAATCTATCCATCACATACAAGGACATTTTTAGAAACTGAACAAAAAACGTTTCTTAAATTCTTGGAAGAAAGACCAAAGTAGAACCAAAACATTGAAATTATACCAAATTAGGACTTCTATGTTTTTATTCCCGAAATAGGACTTACATTACCAAACATGGTCATTTACATTACCAAAAAGTATAGTATGTGCACATGTACACTGCCACATTACCATAGTGCAAAATCAAATTACCACAATGCAAAGTCTTATTTCGGAAAAAAAACATGAAAGTCTAATTTTGTTTCTTTTCTCTATGTTTTAGTCCTATTTAGGGTAATTTCTATAAATTTTTTAAAAATCAAAATCAGAAAGATTTCATGGGACAGATGGAGAAAATATATATGCTACTATGGCAGAGAGTTGAGGGGCAAGTTTTGGAAAAATTAAATTACATCAAACTAATATATTATGTAGATTTTATTTATGTGTAACTCAAATATCGATTTTTGCTAAATGTAAAAAGTAAAAATTAGACAAATATTTTAGAATAAGTATATTGTTATTTTTGTGCTGTTATTGGAACGGATATTTTTTTTAAAGAAACCTTAATTAACAACATGGGTCAAACATAACGTGGTTAGTGAATCTAAAGAATAGTTTAGTGCGGATTAAAAAAAATACTCCGTAATTAAATAAATAAAAATAATATTAAAAAAATTAGTGCGGATTGGACTGTTGGTTTTATTATGTGCTCATTGTCCGTCTCCCGACCTATATTTTCTAATTATGTATAGTCTTAACCGTAAAAACTTGTTAAGTTTGACATCAAAAATTTGACAATAAATGTCTCCAAAAATATATTCTGTATAGAAATAATAAAAAAAATTACTCTAAATAGGAATGAAATATAGAAAAAATATTGATATAAGAGCTTCTTTTTTGACAATAAATGTCTCACAATATTTTTTGTTATTATATATTGAGTATTGTATATGGATTTTAACTCTTAATTAATTTGGGAATTTCTATTCTGATATATTTTCTATGTTTTACTCATACCTTAGGGGGCGTTTGGTTAGGGGGTAAGGAAATCAGGAAACGGAATGGGATTCCCTGATTCTCTTTGTTGTTGTTTGTTTTACAAAAAAATCATTCCCTTTGTTGTTGATCCGACATTCTGCGACTCACCTCTTCTTCTGCGACTCACCCCTTCCGTTTCTTCTCGCCGCCATACACTTGCCGCCGATGCAACTCCATCCCAGGTATGTTCTCCCCCCTCTTGCTCCGATTCACCCCTGCGATTCCCCCC